CAGTGACTCATATAAATACAAATTAAACAATTTCATGTTTCTTTAACAAATTTGCTTTGATTTTTTTAAAGGAATTAAATGATCCAATGCTTTTACAATCATTTTCCAGATTATTCTATAGTGTTTTACAGCAGCCAGCTCACTTTGTCAAACCAGGACAACTGAAAAGACCTGTTATTTCCCCCACCTTTTGCACCAAATTAATCTGAGGAGTTGATCAGCCCTGCTGTTTAACTCTAAGTTTTTCTCTGTAAACTAGACTATAATGGCTTCACCAAAATCCAGTCCACAACATTCAAACTGCTATTATGTGCAGCTTGTTACTGGCGCGAAGTTAGTGTGAAATGTGTCCGTCTGTGAGTGTTTTATGTCGGTGAAGGGGCTCAGCAGCACCTGCGCTGGACAGAAGAAATCAGAAAAAGTGATAGATGTCCATCTCCAAACATAAGCAGCTACAGAAATAACACCAGAAATAGAAGTTCGATTTGTTGCCAGTCGTTTTTAACAAAGAAAATGCTGCTAAAAGGTTTAATAAAGTCTCCTCCAACTCAGAACAGAAACGAAACTAAAAACTGCACCCATGCATGTTTACACCAAAAAGATTGCTGATTCGTTCATTTTGTTGTCAATCAAAAAGGGATTCAGCCTCCGAGAGATCATCCAATCATCATGCAGACAATGAGTGTCCAACCCAGCCCCCTGCCCCATAGACCCCCAGAGACACTCAGCGTCCGATGGGCGGGACAAAGCCTGCATTTATCCAATGACTCATCTCGTTTGGCTGCAGTCTTTGCATCGCTAATGAGCTCTGTGGACGCTCAGCGTCCGACTGTTTAAGGCACTGTGAAACTGCGGGAATGAGGGAGAGGAAAGCTGCGTCGTTAGCAGTGATAAGAAGCTGATTCTGAACAAAAGTTCAGCACGTTGTAGCGCATATGTAGTCAATGACATGTTACACACAACAGTGTATGTTTTATCCTTTTTTTTTTACATTTTAGGGGAAGCTGAGCTTCCCTTGCAGTCTTAGAGAAATCGTCTCTGTTTCTCACTCAGTGAAGCTATTTTCAGATTAAAAATACCTTTAAGGAAATGTATTTTCAGATGCCAAGTAAATTGCATCATAGTGCACGCGCAACCCCCCCACCAAATGGGACGAAACAGAAGCAGAAGGAGGTTTTTAAAGAGACAGAGGCCAATTTCAAGGTGTTTAGAAGAGAAAGAGATGAGAAGATAAGTTTATTTTCTATTTAAACATAAAAACAGCATTTTAATAACAGCTAAAGGTGACATAGTTATTTAATTATGATATAGTATTTAAATGCATGCCTGAGAAACACATAATATTAGTAGTCATAGATCTTCTCTGTGGTTCAATATTGTTTTAAACAAATTAAAAAGTTTCTTTGTCATGTAGTTTTGATCGGGACTAAACCACACACACACACGCGCGCGCGCGCGCGCAGAGACACGCACACCCCAGCCCGCTGTACGTTCAGCAGTGCAGGTAAACAAGAACGTGTGTTTAAAGCACTGCAGACAGCAGGAGGAGAAAAAAAAGCAGTGCAGCAAGGCAGTGATTGACAGCTGCATGTCCACGATCAGCTCATCATTGTGAAATGAAAAACAGCTCGAACTGGATCCGAACTTCAGCCAAACAAGACCGAAACTTTTTTTTTTATTCCTGATCTAATCTTGTTATCTGGCTAACATGAGGCATAAAGAAACTGGTTAATATGAGGCTTAAAGCCACTAAGGTTAACTTTAGAACAAATGGCATGGTTAGCGCTAAAGACACCGCCCTCCAACGGTTATATTTTGTGGCCTTCCAATAGGGCAATGGGTAGAGTGTTGGACCATGAGAGTGCGAGACCAGGGTTTGAGACCAACACAGACACAAAAATGTATTACAATATCTTTTGGTTATTTACACATTCATTGTCATTGATATATTAACCCACTAGGGGGCACTGTTGGGACAGTCTGAATCCTAGAAGGCACAGTAGGGACCCTCTGAAGCCATTGTATGGGACTGATAATGCCTAATAACGTCCATTTCATGGACTGATAACATGAGAATCCCCTGTTTTGAGCTACCTCACCAGCCACTTTTTGTAATAATAAAGCCTTTACTTGCACTCTGGATTTTTGCCTGTGCTCTGGGTCCATCTGCCTGCACCTCACAAGTTACAGCCTTTATTTAGTCTTGATTATTATGTATTTAATGTATCTTTTATTGGTGTTTACATTTAAAACATCATGCTGTCCATGTTTCTGGCAGCCAGAAGAAAAAGAAGACTCAGACTCAGAAGAACCACAGTCTTTTAAAGATAAAAGGAACTTCTTCCAGAAGATTGGTGAGCTTGGCTTCTGAAATAGAATTTAAAAATTCCCCTAGTTTAGGTTATATTCTTGTTGGTTTGATTGTATACAATGTTGTCCACACCATATTTCATCTCCATCTTCCTTCAGGTTCTCAACCTCAACGTGAGTCCAGATCGTCAAAGAAACAACCAGTTCGCTCCAGTTCACCGAAGCAAAAGCAGCGCAGGCCTCCATCCCCGAGCCCATCACCTCCACCTGTAGCACCAAAGCCTGCTGGTGAGAAAACTACATTGCTATAATGACTTGATCTAATCCATAATCTCTCAGCTCTGGACTTGTGGACAGATGAAGAAGTCTCAGAGAGAAAACTGCAGAAAAAATGGTTCTGGTTTACTTTTTATTTCTGTCAGATCATCTTTCTGATAAGAACCGAGTTTTGAGTTCTGAATAAGCACCTGACCAAGACAAAGTTTTACAAAGTTTATTGTGCAGAGGTGAATGAACCAGGAAGTGCTTGGACTGGATTGTCGTCAGATCTAAACACTGGAAATTCAGATTAGTGGCAGAGCGATATAGGAGGACTTTCCAAAGAATTAAAGCCACTAAACTGTTTCCAGTTGAAGGACTCCAGACAGAAACTTTGATGGAAGGGTTTGCGTTCCAGCACAGTGCGGTGACGTCACCATTAGTTTGGTTGGAGTGTTTTGGTCCAAAAGGCAAGTTCTGATAATCCGTGGTACAGGCGTGGGTCGAGATCCAGGTGGTCAGATGGCTGGAGGTACCGATCAGGGGTGAGGCAAAGAGCAGGAGTCCAAGAAGCAAGGCGTGTGTCATTACCGGTAAAGCAGATGGCCCCCGTTAGGGGCTGAGGCGAGAATCGTTGAATCAGGGGACAAGAACAAGGTCGGGATCAAGAGACAAAAACGAGACATGGATGAAAATGCTGGAGAACCTCAGGCAAGCTGATGATAATCTGGCAGTGAACTGGAGAGTGAGACTGGATTATACAGTATATTGCAGGAAACAGGTGAGTGAAATGAGTTTGATAAGGGTTTCTATGAAGGGAGGGGCGAGAGCAATGAGCAGGAGCCGGATGCGAGCTGTAAGGCTGGGAACAAGACTATGAGGAGAAACTGGAACATGAAATAAGATAATGAAACTAAATTGAGGCATGATCTGGGAAGACAGGGACAGAATCTTAACAACCCCCACCCCCAAGGTCCGTCCCCCCAAGGTCCGGCTCCTGATAGACCTCTGAGTGGGCCTGGCTTTCTCTGTGAAATGTTTTAATTAAGTCCTTATCTAGAATGTGTCGAGCTGAAACCCAAGACCTCTCCTCAGGTCCATATCCTTCCCAGTCCACCAGATATTGGATTTGTCATCCCCATCGGCGAGATTTTAGCAGACGATTAACAGTGAAGATAGAACCACCATCGATGAGTCGGGCGGGAGGAGGGGGGCTGGAGGGCACAAATCTTGACCAGAGAACAGGTTTGACCCAGGACACATGGAAAATGGGGTGGACCCTCATGGATCCGGGAAGCCTGAGCCTGACTGCCACCGGGGTGATTACCTTAGAGATAGGAAAGGGACCCACAAAGCGAGGAGCTAATTTGTGGCATTCTACCCTGAGAGGTAAATCTTTCGTGACCAATCAAACTCTGTCCCCAACCTTGTAATGGGGAGCAGGAATCCTTCTACGGTTGGCTGTTCTTGATGCCACCAAGGAAGGTTTGAGTAGCTCCTTTCTGGCAGCTCTCCAAACTCGCTGACATCTTAAAGCTGCTTGATGTACTGAAGGAACTCTAGCAGCCTGTTCGTGGATGGTGAAGACTGGTGGCTGAAATCCATTGACGACGTAGTAGGGGGAAAGACCAGTGGCACTTCCGGGAAGGATGTTCCACCAGGGAGAGGTTCTCAACCTACTTGGATGGATTGTTGCCACACAGTATTCTTAGGCAGATCTCCAGTTCCTGGTTTGCTCGCTCCGTCTGGCCGTCGGTCTGAGGGTGAAATCCTGAAGACAAACTCAGTGTTATGCCAAGCATTGAACAAAACTCTTTCCAAAAGCCAGAGATAAACTGTGGACCACGATCTGAAACAATATTCTTAGGTAGGCCATGTAGTCTGAAGACCTCCTTAATGAACACATGGCTTAGTTCTTTAGCAGTTGGCAACTTGTTCAGGGCTAGCAGGTGTACCATCTTGGAAAAATGATCCATCACAGTTAGGATGACTGTCTTACCCTCAGACTGCGGCAGACCTGTCACAAAATCCATGGCAATATGTGACCATGGACAAGATGGGATGGGGAGCGGCCTAAGGAGACCCGCTGGTGGACGCCAAGAAGATTTAGCCAGGGAGCATTGGATGCAAGACCCAAAGTATTCTTTTTCAGGGAACCCCACCAAAACTGGGACATAATTAACTTGGTTGTGTTTGTGATTCCAGGATGACAGAAAAGGCTTGAGGCATGACAAAACTCAATGACTTTAGCCACAAGATGATCAGGTACATAGAGCTTACCATCTGGGCAATCATCTGGAGGAGGGTGGTTCTGGTGGGCCTCCCTGACCTCCTTCTCGACTTGGGTAATAGTAAGATGAACTGAATCTGGGAGAATGAATCCTCCCTGGCTGCCACTGGTCTGGTCAGGCTCGAAAACTCTAGATAGGGCGTCCGGCTTGGTATTCTTTGTCCCGGGTCTGTAAGACAAAGTRAAGTCAAAACGACAGAAGAAGAGTGCCCACCTGGCTTGTCGAGGATTTAGTCTTTTGGCGTCCTTCAGATACTCCAAGTTCTTATGGTCTGTGAGAACAATAAACTGTTGTTTGGCCCCCTCCCGCCAGTGTCTCCATTCTTCGAGAGCCAACTTGACTGCCAGTAATTTTTGATCGCAGACATCATAGTTCTTCTCTGCTGGGGACAAGGACTTAGAGAAGAAAGCACAAGGGTGTACTTCATTATCTGAGAAGCGTTGACTGAGTATGGCTCCAAAACCGGTGTTAGAAGCATCAACCTCCACAATAAACTGAAGTTCTGTGCTGGAGAAGCGAAGGACTGGTGCAGACGTGAACATAGTTCTTAGTTTTGAAAATGCTTTCTCTGCATCCTGATTCCAAACATACTCGGTCTTAACAGAGTATGTTAAGAGTCTGTTAAGAGGTGACACAATGGAGCTAAAGTTCTTAAGAAAACGCTGGTAAAAGCTGAGAAACAAAATAATTGAATTCTGAAAAAAAAAAAACATTTATTTTTCTTTTACCCAAATCTGGAGCGGTACCCTCAAGATAAAGTTGGAGTGGGGTTCAACCAGGGGAGGACTGGCATACAAGTCTACCGGAAGGTTTCACGGTGGGCTGATGGGTTTATGGGCCTATGGGCTGCCAGCGGTTCACCCCGTGGAGGTTCTGCTATGCTCAGCCCCATGGCCATGCAGCGCACTCTTAGTCTCTCAGATCTAACAGAGAGATGGGCTGCAACAAGTGGGGATGGCCACAGGGGACTGTGCCCCACCAATTTTATCCTCTTGAGTTCCAAGCTTCTGCTTTGTGCTTATTAAAATTTTCCCCAGATATTTAGGATTAATAGAATCTTATTA